ATATAGGTCTAATTTAGTATAGTCAGTTCGTATATTACTATTAGTTGCAATAAACTACTACCTATCGAAGACTGAAGTACATTTAGAGAAGTAGAAATTAAATAAAAAAATAATAGTAAACTCTATAAATAGCGGTTTAGGACGACCTTACTTAGGGATATTAAATAATTATAGTAAAATTATATGGAAGAGATTATTAATAATAATACGGCCGTAGGGATAAAATAATTAATTATTTTATATAATATTAGTTATACTATTATTATTTATAATAACCGTTACGCCCGGACTATTATTTATAATAAAATTATCTCTAGGAAGGAATTCTTTAATAAATATAATAATATTAAGTACAAAATTATTATAAAATTGTACCTCTACTATATTAATTAATAATATTATTTTACTATATTATTCAAATTTCGGTTAACTTAGCCGCCTACTAATAAAATCCCCGCTACTCCCTCCTCCTGTAGTAGTATACCCTCTATTCCTACCCCCTCTCATAATTTAATTAATCCTTTTATTACCCTACAAACGGCTGACATACTATCATTACGAAGGTTACAGACTCCAGCTGGCATTAAGAAGCCTAAATGTATTACAATAAATACTATATTAATAGAAATTAAGAAGAATTTAAAGGAAGACCGGCAATAAGAGGAACGTATGGGAGTAAAACTATATAGTACCGTATATTAAAAATTAATATAAGTATAAGTATATAGTTTTAACTATAAGTATAAGAATTATAATAAGGTTATTAAATATTAAATATACTATATTATTAACGGGAGTATAACTTATTATAACCTCAATATTAAAAATATAGGTAAGTAGGTACGCGCAATCTCATTGGAGAAGGCTATAGTAATTAACCCGCCCGGTAATTTAATACGAAAAATATTAGGGAATAAAGTAGTAGTTGCTTTTATTAGTATTAATAATAGTAATAAACGTAGAGGAGGAGGTAATAATCTACTAATTAATATTAATATTATTAATAATATTAATAGTAATAATAGTAGTACTAATATAGAGATTATAAATAATCTATTATAAATTATACTAAAAAGGGATAATTTTAAAAGTTTATATTAACTATACCCTCCTCTTCTATATCTACTATACCCGCTACCATACTAATACTTTCCTCCCTACTTTTAATTTTCCTAAATTTAATTACTTCCTCTTTATACTACTGGCGGCTTTACAATTAACGCAGTAATTATAAGCAGCTTTAATTATAATAATATAGTAGGTACTCTCTTCTTTTTAAGTAAAATAATAACTATCAATTTATATATACCCTCAAAGTACTTTACTACTATATTCTATAGGTACCCAACTAATTATAAGACTCTTATTACTAAATGTACTAACCCTTCTCCTATTTCTATAACAATTATAATTTCTACTTAATTACCGGTACCGCTATTAATTATACCTTCGTCGGTAATAAATAAGGGGGACGAAGGTAAGGAAATTAAAAAATCCCTAATAGAGGCCGGAGAATTATTTATACTATATTTATTTATACCTTCAACCTTCGGTCTCCGTTTATTACTACCACCCCCTACCCCGCTTAATTAACTAGCTAAAAAGCTTATTACGGAATTCTTTAAATCTTTCTATTGATGTTACTATATTGGAAAATCAACCGAAGCAGGGTTAGTATATAGAATTTTAATTGCTTTAAGGAATAAATTTCGGAGTAAAGAGGCGCCTCCCGATATATTCGCGCTTGGAAAATAGCTAGCAGAATAGTTTACAAAGCTAAGTTTCACCCACAACCTCTATATAGCGTTTAAGGACAATATTAAAGACTTTCTTAAAATTGAATATTTAATACTAGCAATATAGTTAAACTATAGTATATATATCCTCTAACCCTTATTACTATAATTTAATTAATTAGTATATACTTTAGACCTCCGATTTAATACTATATTTAAATACAGCGTTACTAAAGCTCTCGCTTCTATAGCGGACAATACAACTACTAACAGTCCCAGCGAATAATAATAATAATACGAGTCAATTTATAGCAAAAGAGGGGGGTTTTTAATATTTTGGCATTATTATATAGATAAATATGATTTTTAGCACTTCTAGCACTTCTGGCACTTTCAGTATTTCTAGCATTTCTAGCATTTCTAGTATTTCTGGCATTTTTGGTATATAATTTAATTTAATATATATAAATCCATTTCTCCCTTCTACACTCTCTACCGCCGCCCTGATATAGTACCCGTCTTTCTATATTCGATTAGTTTGTTAATATATAGTTTCTTATAATCTTTATTTATATTATTAATTTAATTTATTATTAATTTTATATTCTTAAAATAGCTATGGATCTATTATATTTTATACTCCATATCCTACGCTAATTGTTTAAGAAACGCAATAAAGTTGTTATTTAACATTTTATTACCGCCTTCGTTATAGTATACCCTTTTAAATTACTATTTAAAATTATTAAAATATATTTTAATAGGGTTAAATTTAGGAAAGTATAGCAGTAAATACTATAATAAAACCCCCTTTTAATTATATACGTATTAGAGTTCGGTATAGGGGTGTTAATTAATATTATCTATTACTAAAATACTATTATAGCCGGGAAATAAATTTATTTTAAGGAATAGATATTTCACTATCTAATCCCAAACTCTGGCTAAGTCCGTCGCACCTCTAAATACTAATATATTAAGTAGTCTATTTATTATAATAGTTATAAGGAGGTAATACTATATACTATAAATAGATTTATTTAATACTGTCGTAATAGCGCTATAGGGTACTTAATTAGTACAACGACCGCCGTCCCTTTGATTTATATTAAATTTGTTATAGAATATAAATATCTTTGTAATAAATAAAGAGATTTTTAATATTTATTCGGCAATTAGTATAGGAGATTATTATAATACTTTTATATAAAATCACTTCTTCTTCTACTTCTCTTATCGAAAGTACTACTATATAATCTCAGTCGAAATATATACGTTATATTCGTTAGTTAGAAAAGTATAGATCTTATCGAAGTATAAATTAAATTTTAATACGAAGAGGTTTATAACTTCCTTTATAATATTAATTATAATTAACAAAGTATAAGAAGTCATATAGTATATATTATACCTCAAGTGCCTATATAGGAAGCTTTTTAGCATTTTAGAGAATTCGCAATGGTAGAAATACCTTACTAGTATCCGCCAAAGTATATTTATACTTCTATATACTCCTTATACTTATATTAATAGTCTTAGTAATATCGTTAGAATATTTACTATTTACTAATATTATTATTATTAATACCTTCTAGCGGGTATTAGGGTAGTATACTACATTAATAATAGTTTAAAAGACAATATAAATATTAAAATTAATAATTATACAATCTACAGTATTAAAATATCGACTTTTTATGCCAGTTTTAGGTAAATTTCGATGTTAAACAATTGAGTTAAGTTGTGTAAAGCGATGTCAAATAGCCAGATTTGTCAAATGCGGTGTGTGTGTGTGTTTGTGCACGCACACACCCCGCCAAGACTGCACAGGCGATTGAGTGTGGGAACGTAAGCCCCGTAGGGACCAGGGCGAGCCTATCAGATGTTAACGGGCCCTATCACGGCGGCCAGCCGATCTCCAACACCCCCAACAGGTTGCGGCCCCCGGTGTTCTAGGCTTTGTTGTCCCTTGTTCGAGCCGCGGCAAGGGCCAGTCAGCGGCGCGCCAAGTTACGGCCAAGGCCCCTGCCCGATTTGCCTTTTCGTCAACGTCAACGTCAACGACATAGGACCCCGACGACGCTCAGGACAAGAGACATCGGACCGGGGGCGACGTCCACCACTGCGTTCTCTGCTCAACCTGCCATCCTAACAGAGGTTATCCATTTTTATGACCTGTTCCATTAAGTTTCGTCACCACGTTACTCGATGCTCCATCTCACGAAAGTTACACCCAAGTGAAACTACCAAACTCCAGCTTGGTCGTTCCTGAAGAACACTTTCAGGATACACGCGCCATCACTTCCGCATGTCCTGCCAAATGAAAGATGCTGTAGAGGTAGTGATACCCTTCTTGATGGCTGGTGCTGTCCTTCACGTTAGGTACCTCTATACTACTACCTCTATGTTCAGACGTCCAAGCAATTGTGATACACATCCTGTAATACCAGGGGAGCCACAGTACGGTCCTCTTCGTCTCTTCGCGAGGTATTACGCACTACAAACGATCCTAATCCGCGGTCTATCTCGTCTGCTTTCCATGTCTTCCGCTTGCCTCCCGTGTACATCGGTCCCTTTGTTTGTTTCCTTTCTTGTTTCTATCCCCCTATAACGTTGTTTCCCCATATAACACACGGCAGTTGTTTCCAGCTTCAGTCAAAGCACACCAACACACTCTCGTTGTCCGGGCATGAGCAATTGCTGAGTGGAATAGTCCTGGTGTTTCATGCCGATATATGATAACTTCTATGTTGATGAATACATGACAAAGCCGACAGTTTCCAGTTTCCAGTTTCCTCTATCAAGTGAAAGTTGCGGCTGCCTGTATGTTGACCGTCGATGGAGTCTGGATGAGGACTGACTGAACGGCATGAACACTGCATAGGTAACGCGGAGGTGTCAATGTCAAGCATGGGAAAAACGGGAAGAGCTGTCGATTTGCTGCAGGCAAGTGCGAATTGCTGTACTTCGAGGTAAGTAGGCAGGGGTAGAGGTATGGAGGGCTAAACTGTCTCGGTGCCGATGTCCCAACCGCACCTTCCTCGTTGCATGGAGAGCCGCATTTGGGTTTTGGGATCATGAGGTGCAACTTCCACTTTGCTATTCTTCCATTAAGCAAGAAGCCTTCGCTGTTGGGGCTACATGACGAATATTGTACGCAGCTCGTCTCAGCAACATCATTCTCCGTTTTCTTCCAGAAAACATCACTTAGACGTACTCCATTGGCCCAGGTATGTCCTTCTTCGTCGCCATGTTAGAGTTTCGATGGACAAATTATTGACTTGGCCGGCCACAGGTTATCTGTTCTCGGTATTCCTTATAGCTACCATTGGAATTTCGTTCAGTGCAAACTTAGAATTGCGCATTCGAGGAGTGAGTATCGAGCATCTTGATGCCCCATCTTCACTTTGGTGGGTTGTCAGCAGACATCATCGTTATCTGAACATCTCCGCCTGGAAATCGTTGTTCTTGGTTGGTTTACGTCCGAGCCGAGGACGGGTTCAAATCATGCAAAAGGTCGAACAGGCTGAAAATCGAAACGAGTCAATACGTTGTCAAAGTTTCCGGTCGGGTAACTTCGACTTACAGCTTACGGCCAGCAGCAGAGGTCCAGCGGTGACAACCAGACACGGTATCTGAGGCGGGAGGAAACAAATATACAAGCAGTTGTGTCACTCGCGTCCTCTGTCAGCGCGCCGGTGGTTCGGCACGGGGTTTTTGACGGACCTTGCAAAGTCGCCCGGAGCCGTTCCCTAGGTGACTGCAACTTGAGGGAAACCATCCCTTCACCTCCAGGCATCCGCCTTTGCCACGTTTGCGCCAGCTTTCCATCGACCGCCTTTGCTTGCATCTTCCTCCTCATCACCCCGCCACAATTCCAAACCTTCACTTGAAACTTGTTCAGCTGATATCGACCTGCAGCATTGCAACTTAACTACACTCTACTGAAGCCGTCAAGCAGTTGACGTATTCACATCCCACGCTCCCCAGACAGACCAAAGTCGCAATGGAGTCCTCTCGTGCATCGGAGAGAAGGCGCTGCTGTGCAATGACGCCTCTTGGCTTCTCGCGGTCTCCCAGCAGCTCTCCTCTCGATGATTCTGACCTCGAAGACGAAAACAACGACACTCTCGGTACAGATAACGTGTGGGTCGATGTTGACGCGGTTTTTCCCCCGGCGCCGGCCACTTCACCGACGCGAGGCGATGATGAGCTTGCCGACGTTGGAATGGCCCGCCTTCCGGCTCCCCACCCCTCTGTCGAACATGACGAGAACAGTTTAAAAACTGTCGACAGCGCGGATTCTACCCCAATTCCAACCAACGTGCGATCGAAAGGTTCCAAGAGTAATGCCGATCTGGGCGGCTATTATTTCAGACAGGTTATGCACCTCCTTGAGAGGAAGCACCAGGACATCATGTTCTATGAAGACGTTGAGAACCACAGCATCATGCATCTGGATTGGGCAAGCGAAGTTAGAGACATCCAAGAGACTCAAGCTTCCCGCAACCACAAATCTGAGGAGGGGACTGGTCTTGCTTCTAAGCTGGAGGTAAGTGTCACAAGTAAACTAACGAGGTTCTTCTTCCACGCAGCCTTTTGCTAACATGGTTTCCTTGACAGTGGGGCAAAACTCTGTTCTTCGGTGACTGGTTATATGCCGACAACGGCCAGCGAGAGTATTACATGGAGATCCAGATCAAGCACGTCTCTGGTGATGATGACCAAGTCATTCGAAACTTGGGAATGAACCCCAACGAAGTTTGGATTGGTATGGGATGCGCGAAGGACACTCCGGCCCCGGGTGGTGATAAGCGCTCGCTTTCTTCGAACAGCAGCAAAATGTCTGCTGTGCAGCCTAAGAAGCTTCTTCTCTCGTCACTTGCCGGCACCCATTCTGGGTTTCCTTCAAGTCCCTCAGAAGAGCGTGGCAGCGAGGAGCTTGAAGACATTGCGACACGGGCCTTGACTAAGATGAGCAGGCACAGACCTTTGCCGACTACTCCTACCAACACCTCGTCGTCTGCACACAACAATCATGGAGATGCTACCCCCAAAACTGTTCACGTCGGATCCGAAGATATCGACCTCTGCAGCCCTAATGCCACTGTCAACTCTCCCTCTGATTCTCGTTGGACACCACTCAACTTATCTAGTAGAATCGCAGCCACCTCCAAGTCTGAACAAGACGTTGCGGCCGGCCCGTCGACAGATCAAGCTCCGCCATCACCGCGTCCAGCTTTTGCGCAACTCTTTGGTTCAAGATCGCCCCAGCTCGAGTCTGATCGCCCCATCGGCACAGGTATTCCCCGCAGCAAGCCCCTTGTTCCTCATAGCACCAGCTTTGACAGCATCGATGATGAGGGCGACATCACCATGAGCGATGACAATGTGGGTGAAACCGGAGATAACGGCGGAGGCGAAACCTATGAAGGTGACACTACCCAAAGCGAGATCGTCATTCCCGGGACTCCCTCGCGTTCACCCTCCCCTCCGTCTTCTCCCATTAAATATTCGCCCGACAGCGATCAACATCAGATGGCGGAATCCTCAACTTCCAAGGAGAACCAGAACTCTCGGGACACTCATCACTCACTTAGGGATTCCCTTACTCCCGGCCACAACACCCTCAACCGCCTCTGCACTCCTGAGCTGAACGGTTCCTTTGCCGCTCGCAAGAAGCGCTCCTCTATCTACACAGTCCGCGTGGTAGCCTTCTCCACGGAGCTTTCTCAAAACGAGAACGGCTTTAGCGGACCACCTTCTTCGCAGCGACACGCCACTCTGCTCGGTCACGGCGGATGGGTTTGCCCACCCTTTGAGGAGCGCGTGGCCAAATGGATGGCTGACTACGGCCATTTGCCCCTTAGCTGCTCCGCCATTCCGGAGCACGAGAAGAAGCAGCACAACAACCCGCCGCAGACACGCTGCCGTGCGCTGCCGGTCATGTTTGACGGGTCCGTCGACGACCCGCCGAGGTACTACGGCGAGCCGGCGCCCGTGTGGTGGGAGCTTGGCGATCCGTGCCTTGAAGACGTGTACTGGATGGTCTGGCAGCTGTTGAGTGGCAAGCAGTTCATTGGTTTCAAACGCGGTACTGGATTCGGTTTCCCTAGAACTCATACCAGCGGTGACGATGCACTCTTGGAGAGATGCCCGTTTAAGAGTCCGAGCGGAGAGGCTGGAGTTGGAAGTCTGGTCAAGGGGGAGGAGATCAGGCTGAGAAAGATGCGTGCGGATAAGGAGAAGAAAGAATGGGAGGGCATGGTGAACCTTAAGGGGGGCGAGGAGTAGATGATGAGAGCTGGGAAGGTAAGAAAGGGGGAGTGAGGCTTTTGTTTGGAGAACAAAGGAGGTTGTAACCCGTTTCTTTCCGGTCCATGCCTTACGAGTCTCGTTTAAAACTACCTAGGGTTCTTTACTGGCTCTGTTATGCATAAGTGCACGCAGAGCATTGGGGTCTGGTTTGGAGGGGGTTCTTTCTACTCGTTTTCATTTTTGCTCATTACAGCGGCTTTTTCATGTTCCCTCCTTTTCTTTATGAGCGAAGGCCAGGCGTTACGGACACTCAGTCTGGGCAGGTCAGATGGATACTCACTTGGCGTACAAGGCTCGGATTTGGACTGGATTCTTCTCGAAGGCTTTGGCATTATAAAGCTGAGAACTACGAAGCTATCAGGGAGCGGGCTTCGGTGATTAGATGCTAGTACTTTGTATCTGCATCTGGAGTTTCCAGAAGGGAAGGATAACATCGGTTAAGCGTCAGGCTAGAAGGTAGAAACTGTAGTAAAAATGTGTTATTGTCGTCTAAAGAGTCTCAAACGAGACGGGGAAAAGTCACTTTGCGCTGTGGCATATGTTTCCATTGAGATTAGGAACTGTATCGTACACCAAACAAACCATCAACTGCATACGATGAATAAGCCTTCACTGATTGACGGTTCTTTGTGAATGCACTCTTGTGATTGAGGAAAACGCATCGCTTCCAACGAGAAGAAACTCTGTATTAACACTTAGACAAGAAATCCCGCTTCAACATGGCATCTCCAAGTCATTTCTCAATCCTCACAGCCTTACTGCCCATCGGACTCCTCGATCAAACTGTTGAGCAGGGTTCTTTGTCCATTCACATACTGCAGGTTCGTCCCATATACATAGTAACCCTCGTTTTGTCTCTGTGATCCCCTCAACCCCTGTACCCTGCGAACTATTACTATTTACCCCTGAGCGCAACACCCATGCTTTGTTTACCTTTTTGGTCTGGGATCCCTGCTTGCTTTTTTTGTGCAACAACAAAATGATGACAACAGCTTGTCGGACGAGTACGTAAAATCAGACAAAGATATTCCAAGGATACTACTTATGTGGTCCCACTGAGATAAATATCAATAAGTTCACGGTTTGTGCATTGTGTTGCGTTTTACCTACAGTAGAAGAAGTGCGTGCCCACACCTCTTTCTCTACCTAGGTATGCACTCTGTCTGTATCCTTTGAGATCCCCAAGTCTAGAAGATATAAGAGGACAGTCCCTTCTAAAATCGAATGCTTTTTCACTCTCAGTGGCTTCAAGAGTGGAAAAAGGGTGTGTGTTCTTTTTCTTTTCCTTTTTTTCTTTTTTTAGGTACCAAATCTACAAACAAACCAGGGCTGGATGGTAGTTTTATAGTTCATATGTGCTTTGGCATCGCATGGGGTTCTTGCCGACGGCGGGCGGGTACCTACCTTAGCGTAAAACAGTCATGACGTCAACTCGTCCATCTGACTACAAGTATGTAAACTCCAAAAAAAAAAAAAAAAAAAAAAAACACCATGGTCGAGAGGAAAGGTACATGATGGCAGATAGGTACGATCACGAGCTGGATCCGTAGTGTACTGCGCTTCGAGATTCCTGCCCTTCCAAGCCTTTTGCCATGAGCCGCCTGCTAGGATCATTACCTCTATGAAGACTTGGAGCTGTAGACGTAGGCATCAGTCACGAGCTCACTCGTCTCAGAAAATGGAGTTGTTCCTCGTCCTGCCCGTCTCTCTGACTTGAGCCATCATGATTCGATGAAGAGTCAGTATTTCCACTTTCAGACCACTGTATTTGAGACAAAGAATCGCGATCCCTGAGATGTCATGGGGCTGGGCTAAAAGAGGGCACTTAAGTTATGAAAAAGTTTACTTTCTCACGACTCCTGGTAGGGTAGGTACCCGTGGTCCATAGTCGAACATTTCAAACCAGTTAGTTCTTTTTTTCCCCCGGCAGCCGGCAGTACTGGCTGATTGGGGAAGCATCAACGGCGGCAATGAGCGACGATTGGCGCGGGTACGCGGTTTTGGATTTGGGGAATAACCACATTGCAGGGCCTGTGGATGCAGGTATCCATTTATGAGTATGCCACGGCATTGTGTTGCGTTGTCTGAAGCGTAGGAAAGCTATCAAGGTGGTGATGCGTTTCTCAATCGCGTTCTTCACCCTATCAAACATGGAGTTGATTTGTTGGATTTTTGTTGAAAGTTGGGGACGCTAGAAATCGATCAAGGAAGGAAGCTCTTCATTTTTTTTTGGTAAAATATTTGTTCCATTTTTTTCTCCCCTTCGTCCTGGCGCGATATCAAAGAGAAGGTTGAATGCTTAGACCACAACCACCGACCAGTTTATAGAAAGGGCCACCTTGTTTTGTTTTGGCTATGAGCCTAGTTCTATGCTGATACTTCGACACAACATACACTACAACTGCAGCCTTGCGACTCGCCCACGGGGTCGTCCTGACTTGTCAGAGTATCTACAGCACACAGTACGATAGCTCTGAAACCACCTAGGCGTCGTGTGATCGTCAACCCACCACCCATGTGTCCTATGTGCCAGAGCGGATGAGCAAGGGAACAAACTGAAACTTTGGAAAATCTGCACGGGAGCAGCGGTTATTTACTCTACCTCGTGGACAAGATAAGGTTTCATGTGGTCAGGAGGAAGTAGTGTATACTGCATGTGTGCGTGCGTGCGTGCGTGCGTGTAGATCCGTACCTTGTAGGGCCAGATGTACATACATTTCAGCCCTGTCTCTTTTTTTTTGTTGTCTTAGCACAAATAAAGCCAGAGCCTGGTAAATTTAGGAAATCGGCCCAATTTATCGCGGATAGATGCTCTAATTAGGTACCTATATTGACGTTCTGAAGGGATGAAGAGATGCTTCTGTAGCGTTGACAGCGCTGGTCATTTTCGAGATTCTACAACCGGGAATGATTGTTCTCTCCTAGGTAAGGTTGAAATGGTCTCTAGATTGGCCTTACTCTACCCTAATCTCGCCCCATTCGAAGAATCCAAGTAATAAACAGACTAATCCTCTATTATAATGTGCGTAGACCGGGTTGGGATAGTTCCTGCAACTCGCTGTGACCGTACTCGTACCCGTGACTATACCCATAACTATACTATGTATGTATGGATTGTATGTGTATGTACACTAACGGTATCGGCAGGACATGCCCATACGGCACACTACTAGACAACCCCAACGGTCGGCCTCACCTGTTCAACCCGCCCGCACTCGATCGGGCTATGATCGTTGGAAAGTGTGGCGAGTGAGATGGAGCAAAAAAGCCAAGAGGGCAAAGGGGCAAGGAGATGTACTGGTACATCAAACCCTCTTCAAGCCCTCTTACAACCTCTCGTTGTCAATGGAGGGTTGCGAGAGAGCCTTGTACGAGTCTGTCGATGCAACACTTTCACTTGGAGAACCTCCCCGTGCCCTACCTCCCCACCTCCCCTTCCCTACACAGCACTGCAGTACACTAGTGTAGTAAACCAGCCATGCCCACTTCCCTGCTTCTACCTGCACTGTACCGCTCTGCAGACGCTTCTTCCCGTATCACACATTACCCCGGCCCGGGAAACTGACAGAAATCGGCATCTTCAGGGTCCATTGTGCGTGTGGAATGAGATTCGCATTTGGTTCTGCCGGCAAAGTGCAGACGGTACCTAAAACCACATGGGGGCGGACCTTATGTTGATGTCAGCTCCAACGGCCAAGTTGGTATCCGTCGTTCCGCGTCTTTGAAACCTTAAAATTTCCGTAGTCCCGTTTGAGAGTGGGGGAGGGGAAGGGAGACTATCAGACATAATGGTAGCCCATGCAATCCCCCGTGGTCGAACAACGTACACGTGGTATGTATCATGCGATGTCCTGTTCGTGGCGTGCTTCCGTTTTGCATTGCCGTTACATGCGGTCCGGTAAGTATCTCGCATCTGATATGGGATGAGGAACGAGACACGTCATGGGAGTTCAGCGTACCGAGGCTTTAGATCGGTGACTTGTGTACATGTAGCTCGAGGGTATGTAGGAGTGGGGAATTGGATTGTCTACTTACTTCAGTACTCATAGTACTCCAGGTGGAGGAGGCGAGAAAGTGAGAACACAGCCACAAGGCGCAACAGGGTGCATGCTCACTCATGCCTCCGCACCCTCCTACGGCATCTCGTCCAGAAGTCCCCACGCGGACATGACTTTCGTACGACCACAGATATTAGGACAGTCTGGAACCAGATGGGCTTTGGAGTAGGACAGCAGGCGCCTCCCTTCCCTCCACTGTCCCATTGCAGATCCAGAGGCCTCCCATTTTGGTGTGATCAATTCAAAGCGATCTACTCATGTACTGTGGGATGTTCATTTCGGTTATAGTTGCCGTCTGGGATAATTGGGGGAAGGCGACTGGTGAAGCTGAAGGTCGCAAGTGGCTGGTGACGGAGTTTCGCTATCGACCTGCTGACGACGACTCTTTCGAGGCTCGGGTGCCGGTTCCGGAACGGCGTGTGAGTGGCTGACCCAGCCACAGCTCGACATCATATCATCGATCATTTCCGGGAAGATGTGTTGTATCCGTGTTGCCGTCAGAGACGTACACACGTCTCACTGCAACCTTTGTCTAGCATCCTGGATCGACATAGTGCTGCCATAGAGGTAGTATACAGTAGTCAGCAACTGCGGGAAATGGACGATTGCGACATGTGGCTCGTTCCGTACACCGTGGAAGAGGCGACAAAGTCACAAGGTTACATGACCGCGCCACAATCCCCCATTATCAAATTACGACGTATATGTCCCTGGCCGTCACTGTCACGCCCTGGCAAGCACGCCAGCAACAGTAGTGTACCTATTAGTGCAAGGTGTCGGAGGATTGTCAAACCGAGACGCGTATGGGGTCGACAGTTATGAACGATCGTCTTGACCGATGGACTATCTATCTGTCTTTCATCTTGGGAAATTGGGCTGGAAAGGTAAAGGAAAAACAAGCGCCGAAACGGTACCGATGGCTTCACTCTTCACCACAGTGGTATGCTCATAGCTATTTTCAAGGATGGTACTTGTAGTGTAGAATCAATGATCCCAATAGTGTAGGGTTTCATCCTTTTTGGGGCAAGAAATCTTTGCTGGTCGAGAAGAAAAGGTCAAAAGTGCAATGCGTCAATGCCAATGAAAGGAAAGTGCGTGTAAGCCCGGAATTGTCCAATCGCATCTTTCAAACGCTGAATCGCCACAGCTCTTGCCATTGCGAGCGCCTCATTTTGCATGCGCCTCGGTTCATCCTCACGACCGAAGGAAGGACCGTTGTCACTTACCGGCCACTCCATTGGCAGGTAGTTACCGCACCGAACGCTCGGCTCATCCATTTTGCAAGTTCAATCTCCGAATCGAACCCGGGGCAGGGCCGAATCTGGGAAAGTGTCTCCTCGTGCAGGCTCCTCTCCCTCCCTTGTGGCACACATCCTCGCGGCATGAACCCAGGAATACCGGGGCATTAGGAAGAACGGTAGACAGTATGGAAGATACGTTTCGTCGTGGGCTGACGAGCAACCAGCACATCAAGGGTGGTGATCGAAATCAAAGATTTCCCTCGTCATTAATCCGGTGGGGATAGGGCTCGATGGCTCGGTGTCCTGACTCGGTTTACACAAGCGGGAACAGAAGGGGGCAGAAGTATACAGTGATACTTACCGAACCAAGCCGGACAAAAGGCTCAGGGGAAGATTAAGGTACCAATAAGAATCCTTCTTTCCATTCTCGTAATGTAACCATGGCTTTCTATGAACTTGTCTCCTTCAATTGCACCTCACAGTGTCCGGGTACATTGACTGTCAGCAGTATCCACGGAGAGAGAGAGAGATTCAACTACCTCCACTCACAAGCATACATGTCGTTACATACTGAAATGTTATGGCCCGGTGTAGACGGGGGAAACGATGGTCTTGGTCTCTTGGAGTGTCTGGAAGCCACCAGCTATTGGATACGTAGGTATTGACAATTTACGCTACCTGCTTATCAACCATATAGATACCTAGGTAGCAAGAGAAAATTTGGTGATTGATTTAAGAAAAGACCAGCGGAAACCCAGGTGTCACGGCACCCGCCGCCGTAAGATTACAGGAGCAAACCCAGGCTGGGCTCTGGTGACAACGAGCCAACGCTCTCAAGCCACGACATCCGTTGGCTGTTGGCTCAAGTCAGCAGCCATACCTTGGGCCGATCATGGTCTTACAGACCACGGAACTTCCTCATGACAGGAAGTTGTTGAGTGTTTGTGGCCCTAGGCCCCGCAGGCAGGTCTTTTCGTTTCATCTTTGGGCTGTTTGGACTCTTCGGCTGGAGCCAGCGCCATCATCACTGTCTGGACTGTTTCAGCATCCGTTTTTCAGTCCATGTATGGATTTGAGGCACAAGTGTCGAGGGGACCTAACCCTGTAGGTGTATGTGGGTTGGAAATAGGGGGCACGCCCGTGACAAAAGAGCTGGCACCTTTGGTTCTTCTCACGAAGTGGTCGTAAAACTGAACCGAATATGGACCGTCCAATAATGCTCTCTTCGGAAACGCTGTTATTAAATTGTGATAGAGGGACCTCCAATAATTCGAAAGCACATCGGCCAGAGTCACTTGGGGATTCCTCTATTCGAGAATGCCTGCAAGTTGGTTCCCACAGGTACATCAAAAGAATACCTGGGTGCGTAATAGGAGTATATAGGTATCTCATGTGTGGTGTAATAGCAAGGATGTATTCAGATTATTCTTACGACCATTTGGCTGATCGATCGCCCATGTATAATGCTTTAAACAGGTGCCAGCTTTTCTGTCACGAGCGTGGGGGGATCCGACGACGTGGCCGTTAGCTTTTACGGCTATCACGGCTGGCGGTACGGCGCGGATAGCTCCCTACCGGTTTAGTGGACAGCATGTAGTGTATGATTTCTGGCTTGGCCTTCATCCCGGATGTCAATACCCCCGAATGAGCCGCATGAGCCTTTTGTCCAATGGTTTTGCATGAAGGTTACTTTTTGAAAAAGCGGTTGTTCGCCACCTGAAACCCTGGACCGTCTTTCTCGCTCCCAGGAGGCACTTTCGGCTGTATAAAGAAAAGATAAATTTGGCCTACTGGACGGTAGATGTTGCTGTTCTCAAACCGTCGAGGCCCGCGCTACAATAGCATCGCGACGGGTCCACAAGATGTTTGCAATAGTAGGAAGGACATAGGGGAAACATGTTCACGTTAAGTTATAGGGGACGTGCATCATCATAATGCGAGTTATTCAGGAAGTGTGTATTTCGCTGTTCAATGGTGGAAAAAGGGTAATGGTTTAGAAATACCCAAAGAAATGAAAAACACAAGTACTAAGGGTGTTAAACTGCTCCCCAGGCCGCTCTACCAATTCGCCCTATAAGCCCCGTCAGTCTGTCACCCCTGGCTCTGTTTGCTTGCCAGGCTAGTTGTACAGAAGAGAAGAAGCGAACATGGAAGCGAAAGAGGAACTATGCCCGTAGGTATAATGGTATCTCGAACAGGAAGGAAAGAGGAGAATAGAGGAAGAAAAAAAAAACCATCACGTATCAACGCCAAATAGCAGCAACGTAGCAAGATACCCTTCCCACCGACATGCAACGCATGTGTCTACGCATGTGCCCATGCCGCTTTCCTTTGTCGTTGGCGCCCCAAAACCCCACCCAGACAAGACAAACAGACAGACAAAACCCGACCCCAGCCTTGTATAGACCTGCCATTCCCGAACCCATAGAAGTCAATCCCATGTTTGTTTGCCTTGTTTCCCATAACATCATTTGTATCCTATGTGCTAGTCGTATACCATATGTAATGGTTGTTATTGGTCGTCCAGTGACAAGTAAGACCCTCAGTGGAACAGACAAACCCTGGAAGATGTTTGACGCTTCCTTCCAAGGGCTTATAATCCATATCTTAGTAGAGCAGTCGCAGTTCATATGCTGTCTGCGAGCTGTTGTTGGTCGTTGCTGGAGATGCTAACTCGGCCTCAGGGCCATCGACAGCCATCTCCCATTCTCGCTTAACGCCAGAGTTGTTGTTGCCATTGACTTCGCGGATCTCGAGCTTCATGTCCTGGCCTTCCTGAAGCTCCTGGATAACGTCATCGTCCATTGCTACCTCGAGTCCGCGGTGGAGACGGTGAGTGACACGGACGATGCTGCTCGGGTCCAGGTTCCATTTCTGCGCAATACGCGTAACGAACTCGTGCAGGCTTCGTTGCATCAGGTAGATCGCACGATAAATTTCCGGGCCATGTGAGTTTTCGGGATCTGCACGGGCCACATAGAAACAGGCAACGGGCTTGATCGCCCTTTCTGGGGGAGGGCGGTAAGACGCGTCGACATCCAAAGAATCTATCCAGCCCGTCAAGTTTCCATTATCACCCGTGATCCTTTTAACTCTACTTGGCGGGCCGGACAGTCCCTTGGAAGCATCGCTCGAGTTGAACCTGGAAAGCTCTGGCCAGTTTGGTTTCGATCCGCTGACGGACATCTGGGAAGCAAGCGAAAGCGAGCTTGGAGATGGCGAAACAAGAGAGGATCCGGCAACAGAGCTTCGCTCGCTGCGCCAAGCGTTACTTTCTTTGGACTCCAGCTTAGTAAGGTCAAGGGACTCCCCAGGAAGAGCCACAGGATGCAGGTCGGGGTCGTCCAGTTCGTCACCACGGAGGTATAGAACGCTTACCGGACGAGTGCTGGTAAACATGTCCTGCATGTTCTGTAGCTTCATGGTGAGGTCCTCTTCGAGATGCACACGAGGGTTTCCTCCAGCGGAACTAGCGGATGACATGGACCACGTCCGCTTGTGTTTTTGAATCTTTCCAGGGCGTTGGCTGCTTTGAGTCTTCATCTGCGCTACCCCTGATCTCTTCCTCTTGCCAAAATCCTTGATCCCGCTCTCGGCTTGCTGCATCTGCTGCTTTACTTTATCAATACTTTTTCGCACGTGGGCAACGTCATTGGACAGCTTGCGCTCAGCGCCGTGATCGCGGAACAACTTGACCTTGCAATAGCAAATCTCGGCTCCGTCGCTGGTGTTTGGTGACTGAGGGGAATTCGGGAGATAGGGTTGAGTCTTCGCGCAGAGCCTGACAGGAATACCCTTGACACCCTTGGAATGGCTGAAGTCAGTGGAGAGGAAGTTGAAGCGGACGGCGATATTGCAGTCGACCGAACCGTTGATACCGGGGGTCCAGATGACTGAGAAACCGTCAAACGAAGCGCTCTCCAGCTCGATGCGCGTCCTCTTGTCGTCACCCTCTGCTGGCTGGGTAGCCTCGACGAATTCAACGGCTTGCAGTTTTCCTCCTCTCTGGTGTGCTTCATTGGTGCCGCGGCCCTCTTTCCACAAACTCCAGCACACGCCGGGCTTAAGTCGCTGCTGTTCGTCCTCAAAAGAGACCCTGACAAATGTACGAAACCGAGTCCCCGGGGCAATGGGTAGCGTGGGCGCGGTATCGACTACGGACAGAGAGTAGGCCTGACCCTTGTTGAGGTAAGTGACAGGGATTTCGTCCAAGTTCTTAATCATGGCAGTGGGTGCGTTGAGTGTTGTGTGAAAGCGGAACCTTTCGGCTGACGGCGGTAGCTGCATGGAGAGGGGCATGCCGAATTGCCTAGCTTGGAAGCCCATCATAGGAGACTGTTGGAAGCTACCGTCGATGTTGCCCATCCTTTCATCAGCCGGATCCGAATCTATGGGGGACCCGTCCTGGTCCATTGTTTCAAAGCCCGAGTCTTGGTGAAGAAAAGTTGAAGGCGCAAAGGACGGCTGGTTTGGCGTAGCTTGGATAAAAGCGTTGAAATGTGGAAACGGGGGGAAATTATGGTGGAATCCACCCAATTCCATATGCGCTGGCCCCGGGTGCAGAGATCCGTCAGCGGTAGGCATCGACAGCGGCGTGCCCAGGCCCATTCCGAGGCCGAGCGTCGGGGTATGGAGATCTCCAGCCGTGGGATGGTAGATGGTGTTCGTGCCACCCGGAGTAGGAGTATAATAGCCATGGCCGCCGGCGAATTGCGAGAAGGTGAACTGGTTCGCGTCTAGCACAGACGGGGTGAACCTCCACTGCTCGTTTGTGGCCCGGGGAGTCGGGTCCTGGTCACGAAAAGCATCATGGCCAAGGCTTTGGGCCCTAAAGTTTATTTTTACCAGTTAGCCAAACCCAGCCCAGGGATTCCGGATGATGAGAGATGGGATCGCATGGCATGACTGGCATGACCGGCCGGCCGGCCCGACGGCTGCCATCGCTCAAGGTCATGACACATGCGAACTTCCGCAATGTCCGGAAGGTGCTTATTTTAAGCTTATTTTATCCGAGTCAAGGATAAAACAAGCGGACCAGCGGCTGCGACGCAATGGAGCGAATATGTCGGGGAAAAAGAGTTACCCACCTTTCTGCGGCTGTGACAGCGATGCCAGCTTGACTGGTGGTTGCGGTTCGGGCAGGTGCTGCGGCCCCGGATGAAGTGGCGGCGGCTACTTCAGGGAACTGTTGCCTGAAGTGCGCCAGCAGATCATCTGCGGGCTTTTGCGAACTTGTTCTGTGAAAGCAAAAGTGGTCAGCGAAACGGCCAAGGTTAAGAAAGTGGACAGGCAGGCAGTGGAGTGGGAAGCGCGGGTGCCAGTCCCGAAGTCTGGCGCTTATATCGAGACGGTTGGCAGCGGGCAGACAGAGCCAGTGCTTGCAAGGTGCAATAAAAAAAAAAGAAAAAAAAAAAAAAAAAAGTAAAAGCGCAAACTACTGACCGTTGACGGAACATGGTTTCTGAACGGGTCGACTGATCGTATCGAGTAGACTCGTTGCCCCCTCTTTCTTCAGAACACCGGAATGCTGGCTGTGGGCAGATATTTGTAAGTCCGGACACGAACAGTGACTGCACCTGAATCGAATCGGATCCGGTATAAAAGTTCCGCTATGCCGATCGTAGTCGTCAACTCGCGTGGATTGATACTGATACGAATCTGCCGGACGATGCAATCGATGTCAAGCAAGCAAGCTGATAGTATAGACACGCAGTGCACGGCAGGCTGCGCGGGATTCCACTCAGTATCAAATGTCAGTGAGCCAAATTCGTACTTTGACTCGAAGGGCGTGTCGCGAGCAAGTATCGATGCTGGAGAGATGCTGCCGGAAGATGCTGGTGTCGGTCAGGCAGGTCGCAGATGCTGAAGTCCACCTTGTCTGTTGCGAAAACGAGAGGCAGTGCAAACAGATTGCGTGGAAAGAGTCAAAAGAGAGAAACGGCACTGCAGATGCGCCAGAGAAATGGAAGGGAGAAGGAAGTGATGCCTTTGGGAAATTTTTCGGTTCCTTCGTAGAGGTAGTTTATTGCGACTTGTTTCTTCTCCGCCTCATGGCTGGCGCGCGAGCGGGTGTGTGGCCGGCCGAGCGTGCCCTGTATATACCTCTCTGCAGTCTCTACCGCTGAGACGGGACGGGAACTTCTCCCATGTACCCTCGGGGAGTTCGTCGTCCATGGTAGTGTACACTGTATGGTGCCCCAACACGCAGCACCTCAACCGCTAGTGCATTCCCAATCAAAAGCCCAAGGATTGTGTGTGGGTACCTAGAGGTAGGTAGGCTTGTACCGATACCTAATACCGTACGTTTCTGCGGAGTCAGTAGAGGTACTTTAGGTACCGGGCTGCCAGGATGGAGACGTTACCATATCAGGCCAGGGGGCACTAGTGTACTGGGGTTGATTACGGTACCGGTACAGTGCATACTTTACACAACGCTTGGTAAATGATACTATTCACTCTACACTAGTGGTCAGCGGACCGAGACTTGACAGGAAACAGTGTTCACCCCTCCGTCGTTCTTGCTAAGAAGAAAGAGACCTAGGTGTGGTCATGGACACGGCTGACGACGAAGTTCGCCTGCAGGCCGTAGTAAACTTTGAGAGGCCGCCTGCCGATAGAAGACAAGATACAGTGTTTTACAAGCCAAGAAGTGAGAGTGCAGTACACCAAAACGATTCGACTCGGAAGGACTATCTGGTAGGAGCCATCAGAATGGACCGAGTTGGGTGAGGAGAAACGGACAGAACGGAGAAGTCAGGCTCTCTCAGACCGGTCCTATTGTCATCAGTTTCATCGGTCGCTTTCACACTTCACTCACACCCCGCTAAGCCCAAAGAAGAAGTAATGCGATGGTGTGAAGGGAGCTGTGGGAGCCAACCGCCGGGGGGGGGACTGATGGTTGACTCGGCGGACAATGACCCGTCTGGCTGATGGCCGCTTATGGCTGACCTCGCGGAGGACAGAAAGAGGGGTGAATGGGTTTAGTGTAGGGGGCCAAGCAATCCCCCCCGGTACAGGATACCGATGCATAAAGTCCAATGGATGCGGGCATGGTAAAGTGTAAAATTGGATGGTCGATTTGGGTCGACATCTTCAGGTGAGGCCTATTTTCTTCTTTTCTGGGTGACAGCTGGTTCGCGCCCCGAATCAGATGCAAAAAGCCAGGCATGGGGTCCAGTCCGGCATGTTCGCTGCATACACGTGTTGCCTACGAGCTGTGTGTTGTTATGCGGCGACATATTGCGCCATGCTTCAGACGTCTTTACAGCAATTACCAATCTACTGGTGTCGCCTGGAATGTTGGGAGTGGACATGGGGATGACACGAAGACCATTGATATCGATGTCTGTAGAGTTATAAGCGTCTTGGTGAGGATGGATTAGCCTTTCTGCCCGAGCACATAGCGGGAATACTTCAGATCCCGATGGTTTTTCGCATGGATGTTCTGTGGATATGTATAGCAGGGGGCCGAAGACATCCGTACCTCTATGCAGTACCTCTAGCTTGTAAGCCATCTACCTATCCAATACCTATACTGTGGTGTCGAGCTGGCTATGTACAAAGCTATAGTTTGGTTAGTTTGGTAAATTTGGCTTGCGACACCGGTGTGAACAGTAGGCGGTCCCCCGCGGCCATTCATAATCATGAGACGGAGAAGGAAAAAAAAAAACAAGGAAAAAAAAAAGCAAATTAGTTTTGGACTATTGGGCAGTGTTATTGATCATGCACGTGCATAATCGACCCGCATCCTCGTCTTTGTGATATGAGTCGGTCGTTAGCTGATGCCCCGATGGTCGTTAACGAATCCCGATGGTCACTGAGCGCCGAAACGCTACCGGCACAGGCCGAAATTGCTAAGGAGGGGTTACCTGCTACCACTTACTAGAACTTATCCACTCTCCAATCCCCACGCTGGGCCGTTCATGGATGCTCCAGTGGAGTCCAGGCGCCTTCAACCGTCTGCCTGTTACGGCATATGCCAAATTACTGCAGTGACAAAGGCTTCACCACACATCGACGACGGAACGCATTTTGGCGGTGAGAAAGATCCTAGGAGCATGCCTGATGAGGTACAAGTCGGGGGAACAGTAAAATGCCCAAGAGGACACTTTTGTCCGGTATCAAACAGCTGCCCGAACCTAGACTGAAGACCTTGACGTATGAGCGGACTCACTACTAGCGTATAGGTGCACCGAGCCGCCGTCTGATATCCGGACCTTTTCCGGAACACAGGTATCGATACTTCTCCAGTGAGCCAAATTTTTAATCCCGTGGCTGTGCTGGACCGTCTGGGTTCCAGTCGTGCAATCTGGTCAACTGTCAATCTCGATCGAATGCAGGCACGCAAGCATTGGTCCAGCGAGGTCCCTTGATGTGTCCTTGAAGTGTTCTTGAGATCAGCCCGGAGTCTGTGGCTTGAAAGCTGTCGCCACAGGTGTTGTCGGGTTTGCGACCTGTCTCGGCTGCACCAAATCGCGACGACTGGATAGCCGTTCTCCGATCTTCAAGATCCCATATCATCTCGGCGGCTCGACCTAACCGCGATGTCTGGATCCCGGATCTAGACCCCGCGATGCTCTCAAGAGGTAAGCGTGCCTGCCCGCCCAACCAACAACACACACTCACAACAGCCACTACAAATATAAACAACAACAATGATAATAACAATAATAATAACAACAGCAGCAGCAATAACATATTCTAATGTTGCGGCACGGCAGCCCAAGTTTGGACAGCACTTCCTTCGTAAGTCGGGATTTGCTTGCGGTCAGATAAAAAAAAAAAAAAAAAAAAAAACTCTAGCGAGATTTCCCCGAAATTTCCCTCTGCCATCGTCGATGCACCGTTGGAACCGTAGAGCACGCACACTGTGAGTTTACAAAGCGAGTCCCGAGGACAGCGAGGAGTCAACAACAAGCCCTGGTCCGAGTCCACATTTCCCAGCGCCGGCCGGGGGTGGATTGTGTGTGTGTCCGATCCCAGGGGTTGGCTGGACGGTTGGATGCCCAAAACAGACGAGACCAGCGGAGATGGGAGTCCACAACGGATACCACGACAAAATTGACACAAGCTCAATGACGTCACAGGCGTTATTTTTTTTTTCTCCCTTCCACTCCCATGAGGAACATGCTGGGGTCCTGGACTTTACCGAAATCGCACTACAATTGCGAAGGTCAATAGTTTGAGAGCCAAATGGCCTCATTGAGAGAGTATCGATAACACTTTTTCCTCTTTTCTTAGCACCAAGGGAGGGGAGGACCATTTGCATGTGCGGGGGAAGGAGGAGAAAGAAGAGGGGGGGGAGACCTTTCATCCTCTCGTCGCACATGTGCCCTTTCAAGCCACGTTATGGTTTTCTTCGACATTGGGCCGCCAGAAGCAACGAACAGATAACCAGGGGCTGTATTAGGGGAAGCATTGACAATCGTCTTGGCAAGACCCGTGTTCGGGACGAGCGTCGATCTTGGCCTGTCTAAGGCGCAGGTGGTTCTGGAAGTTCTGCCACCGATTTCTTCATTCCACTGGGAAATTCGAAATGGGAGCGACCCCCTCAGCCGGAGCCAAAAGCAACGTGCCTAGGTACCTATGAGAGCTGTGACAGAAAGGGGAGAGATCAATGACCGTGCACAAACCGTTATCAAATCTACGATCAGTGTCTCGCTTCCAGAACGTTTTGTGCTCTGGTCAGCTATTGGATATTGTCCGAATAGACAATCTCGAATCCATCGCAAAATCTAGCTCCCCCGTGTAGCATATATGCATCTCGATATATCTACCGATCTGCCGACGCTGTTCGGGCGACTGAATCAAAGTCTCACAGCTTCTTCGGAGTCGCTCACTTTCAACTTTGTTGTGAGAGCGCTGCACAGCTGGTGGATGGCTGGCACCACGATACTACCGAGACGTGGGCAAACTTGCAAAAGATTTCGTAGGAAAAGGCATAATCAACAGCAACAGACAAAAAACCGCATTCGCACGGCACAATGCTTGAAGGGTAAAGAGGGTTCACGCAGGTGAGCGGCGGCAGCAGGGCTCGTGCAAGGTTACTGCAGGTAGGGTCCAATGAGATAAACCTCCCGTCGGGCACGCCCAGCGATTTCCGCGATTTCGGTTGAGATTTTCCTGCTCAACCCTCCCGCTTCTACACTCACTACACTACACGGACAAGCCAGCCCCGTCTGGACTCAAGCCCCACACAGCGCCCGACCTCCATTGACCGGCTGACGCGTCCGGGAAGGGATCCATTTCCTCAAAGGTGTCGGCCGGCCGGCCGGCGCGCAACAATGCCAGTTCGGCTACAAAGAACGTCTGAAAATGCTGTCCATCCCTCCGGCTTCGCGATCCCAAACACCGGATTCACAATTGTGGTCGGTCAGCCTCGCACTAAAGCATGACGTCATGCTTTCTCCAATTCTCCAGAACAAATTCGTTCGTCTCCGCTGCATGAAAACGCCAAGTGGTGGGCTCCAGGTAGGATGCGTTAAGGGGCCCAATTGGGGGAGGCCCGCTTTGGGGAGAAAGGCTCCGGCCCGGCGTGCCCACTGCGTGTGAAAGTAAAAGGGCCCGCTAAACCTTGTCAAACATCGATCGCGAAGAAATCACAACATTGTAATGGAGTGGTGGGCCGAAAAAAAAGAAAAATTGAAGAGAAAGCCGAAGCATATGGGGAAGGAAAAAAAAAAGGCCAAAAACATGGTGCGCTGTCCCCGAAAATCTTCCCTTTGACGCCATCACTTGGCGCATAACCGAAGAGTAGTGCAGGCCGAAGCCCGTTTGCCGTGCCCGGGCGACTCCGACCCCCCGCGGGACCGGTCAACGGTTACCGTAGTGATCAATCGTGACAGAGTCGTGATTTTCCCCCGCATCGCGCTGAGATGAGGTTGGGCGTGAGACTGAGATTGAACCCGAAACAGGGGGAACACACTTGAGGAGGCAGTAGCATCGCCTGATACATAGCCGTAGCCGCGGCTCAAGATGCGACCTTCTCAAGCGCTCTGGAGCCGTGGCTGAGGAAATGACGTCATACTCGTCTGACGCGCAGCAATGTCTTTTTTCGTTTTGTTTGTTTTTTTTTTTTTTTTTTTTTTCCGGGTTAGGGGTACACATTAGTCCTGAAGAGATCGTTAGCCTGATACTAAACAGAGGCTCTAAGCAGGGGGGGACAAACTGCCCTGTACATGCCTTGTAACTTTACCAATTATAGAAGGTAGGGAGGAGAGGTTTTAGGTGATTCTGGCGGTCCCGAGCTACCTAGGATAGGAGGTTTCAGCTGTGTGCGGTTGTTGGTACCTAATGGATCCCATCTTGTAATAAGATGTAGAACACGTAGGCATGTAACAGACTAACAACTTTACAAGGACTGATGTATACTGCGGGTAGACCTTTCTCCAGTCCCCCAGGGCAGTTTCCGCTGCTCTGGGTCCAGGTGCAACTGAACCGAGTGTTTCGAATGCGAGAGTCGCGAGAACTTCAGTCCAATTCCCATTTCCATCCCATCGTTCAGTTCAGGTACAGTGCTCGCACGCCACCTCCGGCTGTTGTCTGACGGTGATACATCCCGTGATTAGTGGTGTTCAGCGTTGCCATTTCCAAGTTCAATCTGGGCCAAAAAGATACTTTCTCTTCAGTTTCCACTCATCTTGACCTTCCCTTTGGGCATCTATCCCAAAAAATGGCTTTTTATTGAAAATGGGACACCTTCTGTCAGGTGAAGTTTACCGCCTTTTCCGAAGGATTCATTCGGGGCCCTGTGGGGTTGAGCCTATGACGTCACCGTGGGGAGGTTCCTCGCACTTGCACTAGGCTCGCTCGGCTTAACTGGGGTTGGGCGAATTGGGAATGGCATCCATCCAAGCATCCCGTCTTACAAGGGCAGCTCCTACACTATGGTAGGTACCTAGAAACTGGCGTACTGTAAGGAACCACGGCATGAAATGGCGGGAACTGTGTCCCACTTGGATGGCCCGCAAAGCCCAGTCGAACGCTCTCGCACACTGAATTCGATCCGACAACTTCACACAACGGAACTGAAACGCGCTGTGCACTTGACAATTGCCCCGGCGTGATTGTCTCTCTGAGCTTTCTCCTTGCCGATCAGGGTACCCGTACCTACGCTACAGCCTTTTAGTGTACCTACTACAACCCGCGCGCGGTCTTAGTGCGACGTTACACGACTGCCTGAGAATGGGGCGGGGCACGCGAGCGACAGACGCACATCTTCACCACTATTTGTTCAATTTGCGAATCAGCTCTTATCAACCACCCACGTCCATCCGAGAAGCTACTCTCGTACGTACACTATAGGAAGACATATCCAAGTGGCCCACAGCTTGCTTCAATGCGCACACGGTTCTCTTCAAGTCTTTGCGAAAGACGGATTACCTTATGTTCTTGTTCGGAACAATACTCCCATAGGCTTGCTTGCGATTAGACAATTTTGATTCACAATGCTCTTCTTCTATTTAACAATGTTCGATCGGCATTTATGTATCCGGTGTCCACATATCCATGTCTTTTTCGATCGGGCTATAATCCCTATATCCCGGTCCACGGTTTTAAAGGAAAGAGGTACCTACGTACATAACATAGAAGTAGGATCAAGACCAGCAGAAGCAAAGTTGGGCTGGGCCCGTCTGGTCAGCCTTACCATGATCTCTTTCCCCTTTTAGTTACTCAACCAGTCACTGTGTAAAAGAGACGCGAAAACAAACTCACCAGTCGGGTCTTCGCATGCTTGTAGATTCACATATTGCACTATGAGGCTTTGACATGGTCCGTTGTCCTCTGATCGTGGGGGTAGAACGGGCGTTATTATAAAGGGCTACGTTATCGGTTAACGGACATTGGAATCAAGCCCCTCACGCGCGCAACCCTAGATGCTACTTACTTAGCGCTACAGTACCTATGTATGAATTACGGACAAAGAAGGGGCGGAAATCGCCCTCGCGTGGGCTGTCGCGTCTTGCAATTTACAGGTCCATTGCGAATCCCTTCTCATCTCTTTTCTTGCCAAACAGACTAGTGCAAGTCTTTGTTGCATAGGGATTCCACCAGTTGCCCGTTATCAGTTCACAAGGTCGGAAAGCCCAGTACACAGTGGCAGTAACCTACCGGCCCGGAATTATCATTTATCGAAATCGAGATCGGACGAATTCTGCTGATGTGTGTCAACACATGGGATGACAGGCCCCTTACCGAATGGGGAAATAATTTCTTGAATAATTCGAGTGAAAATTCGGATATCCCACTAAATCGAAAATCGATGTTAAGCTATGAACAAGACATTGTAAACTCGGGACTCACGTCCGAGGCATCTAGAATATCTCGCGACACTGAGGGCGTTGACAGATGCTTCGTTGCAGCCGGACTTGGTCGGTTATTCCTCCCATTCGTCTTCTACGGAAGGCGTGTCTTACGAGCATCTCCTTGTACTTTCCGTTGCCTTCGATTCCTGCTGCTGTTCAACGCTCCTATGGTGCCCTCCAATATATGCTCAACGGCTACTTTACCTCTTTGATCTCAAGGCTGCAACTGTGGTTTTGTACCTACGTCAAGGTCTCTCAATGTGTGGAGAATGATCAACACGCCCATCACATCATTCAGTTCTTCTGGTGTAGTTGACAACTGAAGTGTCTATCTTCGCTGCCAATAACACATCCGTCCCAATAATCACGTGTCACGATGCGTACAGTACTGACTTGCAGAAGCTATTATACACTACATTACACACGTGCATGAAGCTGTGTAAGTACATATACACTATACCTGCACGCTACATAGTGTAATTATCCACCTAAATGTGACTTTGCTCGGCTCGTTCGTCCTTCGAGCAAAAAAGCCAAGGAGCCGGGTCCTCTCTATTTTTAGTGCCAAGCAGGAAGGGCGGTGATCGGCAAACGGAATTAGAGGAGCAGATCTGATTTTTCTTTCCCTCGTTGTGATGTCTCTCTATCGCTGAGTGGTTGGTCGGCTCGGCAACATTTTCCTATCACAAAATAAAACAAAAGAAAAAAAAAAAAATTTAAAGAAAAGAGAAAAAAACTTTCCCATTCGATCTTTCCCCGATATGGGACTTTCTCCACTTTGCCATTGCTGTTATTAGCGATACATATGTAGATACGGTCTATGTGTAAGAATTACAGTACATGTTCGCAGCACGGCAACATGGAATTGAATATACCTACAACGGACTTCCGGTTGGCGGTTCCTTCTTTAACGGACATGGACATATACCGTATTACTCGAGATTGGGCTTCAGGAAGGCGCTTTTTTATGCCAGCCATAAAGAGGGTTAAAGGTGTCAGTCAACTATCATGATGTACATGCTTCTTGCTGCTTCTTTACACCTTTAACCCTGCTTATACCTGCGCTAACAGTGCCTTCCCGAACCTCGATTTGAAAATTATACGGTAGTATATGGTAAACGCAGAACTAGAGGTAGTTCTACTACGCAGTAGACGGGGCATGCGTCTAGCCACGCCTTCTCATTCTACCCCGCGAGAAGATCAACTGTAATGAGCCTTGATGGTCACAAGCTCCTCACTTCTATTTGACCGAACTCCAATGAGCTCAGATACTCTTTCCACATCGTCCAACAGGCAACATAGTACCTCTACTGTAGGAAATCGAGAACATCACAAATAGGTAAGGTACTTGGTGGCAAGTCAAACACTGGCCAGTCTTTATGACAGTCACTTTGCAGGTGTCAGAAGACAAATGTGGTTCAACTGGACCCTTCTAACCTGACAGGATCATCTTGAATTTCAGCGCATTTCTAGGTACGGTGGCTTTCTAATTTGTCGAAAGTCGAGTGACTATTCCGTCAAACGAGCCGCTTTCACCACAAGGACTTCCTCTCGTAGACATGATGGGGGCCATTTTTCTGCGTGAAGGAGATCACAAGGTCTGCAATGTGTCTGTCCATGCACCTTGTGCTGTTGCTGGAATCATCACTTCCCTTTCATCCCTCTTCCGACTATTTACCGCGCCGCGTGGACGATGTCGTTTGTACAAGTTCGTCGCATGGACTCTTCTCGAGTGGCGAATTTGTCGTTGCAGAGGGATACATTGAGAACAGATCGGGGGTGACTTGAAAGAGAGTGTGGGTTAAGAAGTAAGATGCACTGGGTCATGCCGTTGGGAATCTTCATGAACTCCCTCTGGCGGTGATGATTCGTCATGTCTCGACCAACGTCTACCTGCTGCTTTTGCAGGATCATCGAGATCAGACTCTGCCTGTTGACGGCGTCATTCTGTGTGCCTGTTTGCCGCCTGCTCACTCTACCTTCTGATTCTACCTTCTTGTCACATGTCCTTGGGTAGGTAGCTTTGGATGCCGGACAATGGGAATTGTTACAGCCCGTCACAGATCTCATGGACGATTAAAGAACGCGAATCTGAAGCGAGTGAGATGCTGCTCTCATAAACGTCAAGTCCAGACGAAAATGTCTACCGTGTAAACTCGTATATGCCAGGCGGTGGATAAAGGCCATCGACTTGCACATAATGCACCCAAAAGAATAGACCAACATAGTATTTGAGTCACTCAACCACGCAGTTCCTAATGTATGAGTTTGACAGTCAATCCGATATGCTTACTATCCTGTATCCAATCCTATTTAGGCACATTCGCAGCACCAAAGCTTCATATCGTCATGGGCGCATCGAAATGACAATGCGCTGTGGGTATAGACGCTCCTAAATGTGAAGACTCAACACCATACGACGTTCGAGTAGGCGAGGTCCTGCGCTAGAGATAATGCGGTATGCTCTTTGCTGCTTTCTCTCCCTTTGTCTGCCTGGAATTGCAACCCGCAAAAGGGCTTGGGGAAAGGTTACATGTAGGGATGCAAAATCATTGCGATTGCATGGGTATAACAGATCTAGGTTCATACATATGTAGAGGTAGGAATAAACTCCGCTTTGTTCAGCGTCCCGATGGAATTTCGGAGTCCTGTAACTCATCAACTCTAGTCTAGGTAGGTACCTTAGTAGATACCGGAACGTCACGGTGCTTGCCAGTGCATGCGTGATACTGTCCCGAGTAAGGTACCTATTTCCAGAGAAAAAAATAAAAATCACTCCATGTTCAAGACACCGTCAGTGGGTTTCGACATTCAACTCAACACAACTCAAAACCTAGACTACATATTTGTGGTACATATCCCTTCTCTCTCTTTTTATGCGCTCTTCTGTCGTGATGCCTTAGGTGTATACATACGCCCTTTGCAACATTATATTCCATGCGATCCTACAAATGTTTATCGTGATATCATCATCCAATGCTTGATCACGGAAGTTCACCTTCTCATTTCCGTACATAGTAGGTACCCTACCTATGCATGTGCCTTGCAGTTGAGTGTGGAAAAGTCGTAGGTATGCTCCTGATGCCCCATCAAACGCATGCAAAGACACTATGGCTAACAAGATGGATCTCGCGAGCCCGCATTGCTTTCACTTTCACTAAGGCAACTATATGCAGCTGCGAGTCTGACAAGAGGCCGGGGGATATGTTATATGCCGGCTATGTAGACATGTACAGTATCTATCAAGTGTCTGCCTTCTCCCTGCACCCATTCGCCACTGCTGGACGGAACTCCGCAATTCATGTTAGAAGGTCTTCCCTGATATTGACCAACTGCAAAGCGCGCGTCTTCTAGAACCAACAGACAGGAACATGTAGGCAAGCTGTAGAGTACCTCTATGTTCCAATCAACAGTGATGGATAGGTCAGGAACCTGGGGGATTTCAAGAGACTCGAGCAGTCTCCAAGGTTGGATCTGCCTTACATCTGCTTGGGAACCTAAAGGACGGAGTCTAATCCACCACACTTGTACCATGGAGACTCGCGAAGTTTTGCCACAATCTTCGTATTGACTGCCGGGCAGGGCGTGTACGAGCGCTCCATCAGCCAGCATATGCCAGCAGATGTGTCTGTTCAGTTAGTGAAGACTCGAGGACATTGCCCACCACTCTAACTTGGGTGCTCTTCAACGTACAGGCACGGGCTTGCCCTGTACAGATCTGCCCCTCCATCCGGCGCTCGTAGAGGGAGAGATTCGGGGGCAAATTTCACGAGTCTCCACGATACGTCCCGAGTTTGCATAGTCGTCTAGCCCAGAAAACCGACATGAAGCTAGGTATTGACGTTGACTGCGATTCAACCCTCCCCTGGCAGTCTGCAGATTACCTACTTCTAGGCTGCTACGTCATGTATAAATGTTGAGCAAGCGTCACAGATGGGATGGATCAGCTACCACATGTCAGAAATCTGATTTCAAAGAACATCAGATAAGCTATCAAACGCCGTGGGACGCTGTTACAAGCGCAGCGCTTAAGCTCGATGCTCAAGAATCCTGTTTTAGCGACATCACATCCCGCAATGACTCCGAGAAATCGGAACTCAGGGTCAGGCAGAGCTTGGCAGGCAAACTGTACCTAGGCTCAATGAATGGAAAGGGCCAGAATGTTGATGAGGTGTTTTGCGGTTGATTGCGTTTTGGGAGAGGTTCGTGCAGTCTGTAGGTAATGCTTCAATATGTGTGCTCGAACACTGCAGAAGAATCAGCCAGATCCCAAGTCCCAGGTTTTCCCCGAGACATGGCCGTAGTGTAGTTTGGCGGAAGGGGGCTATTTCCGATACATTGGTACCTTTTATCACATGCTGGCTGGGTCAGCTTTGTTTCTTGTGACTTTCCTGAACGTCCTGGGTGACGAGGACGCTGAGGGCAACGGTCTTTCCCAACTTCTCCCAAACATCAGACATCAGGGAGGGAAGAGTCCACACCCAGGATCCAACCTTGTGTACTTGACACCAAAACCATATCCTCGTAGGGTGCACATGCCAGCCCTGGTTTGTGTTTTTAGCGTTATAGGGAAAAGGCCAGACCTTACTCGACCTAGTAAAGCGGTCGAGACTTTCGGTGATCGGAGCTGTGAATTGATATCTTGACGTGTTGAAAAGGGAGGATAGGTTTGGAAGCCATGGTTGTTGTCGAAGCTCTGTAAGCGAAGAACAATTTCTCTTCTTGGTGCCAATAGACCTTTAGTGTGTGTGCCCTTGTTTTGCCCTTATTCTCCTCAAACAAAGGCACCTCGTTAACAAACAAACCAGAATTGTATAGCAAGTCGCCAAACCAACTTCAACTTCCAATTTCGCATGTTAATTTTGACACGACTCGGCGTTGAAGGCTGTACGGTGCCCTCATTCCCGCGAAGCGACGGAGGGTCCGGCTTCATCTCCGGCTCCGGCGTGCCGAATCGAAACATCAGGTCGGATATTGGATCCTCTGCGTCCTTTCCCTGCGAGTACTCGGCTAGTAGACAGTTTTTTTTTCAGTAACAGGCCTTACCAGGCTGAGTGTCCAGCCCATGTTCAAAGGTGGGATGGGATGTTCAAACTATGCCTGTTGTGCTCTTTAGGTACTTTGTCGTTGTCCCCTTTACTTTCCTTTTGTGAACCGCAACATGAGCGGGAGCGTCTTGTCCGTTGTTTTGTCTCTTTCTGGATTCACCGTCGACGAAACTGAAACCGCATGTGGTGCAGGCCGCCTGGGTACCTGGGTATCTCCATCCTTGACCGGCTTCCCGTACCTATTCGAAGTTAAATTGTTCTTGAAAGACTTTCCAGTGTGGTTGCTCCTTCCGTATTCTCTACTCTTTCTGTCTGCCCCGTGCTTTTTGCTCCTCTTTCGTTCCTTCCATTCCGTCACCTCTTGTCATTTTGTGGGTTTCTCCCCCCTCTGGCCCTGCTCTGCTTTTTCTCTTCGCTGTGCTGTTTGATTTGTGAACAGTCCAAGTACACCCTTTAGACGATTTCCCCCTCATTGCAGTGCTTTGGGCCTCCTCTGCCTGGCCTGGCATGGCCTTGCCTGCCTGTAAGGAAAATCATCCAGCTTTTTCGGTTGTGACGCTTTACTAAGGCAATTGCTCACAAGGATTATTTGTGAGACGAGCTCCGAGCCGAAAGCGAATGGTACAATGGCGACGGTTGTTGTGGGGGTGTCCTTGAACTGCGAAACTATGTGATCGGAAGTATAAGTACCTAGTGGGTTACGGCGCAGGCTGTGATTGATGGTAGTGATGTTGGTGGTCATGTACATGCTTTGCGTGTTTGAGGATGGAGCGATTGGCAGTTTTGATGAGGTAATGGAGAGCTTATGGTGAATTGGTGGTCTAAGCCAATGACCAGAAGGCTACATGTGAAACGGGAGGAAATATTTGTGGGAGAGTAGGAGTGAGAGACAAGTTGTTACGACACGAATGAAGCATCACCAGAGAAAGTACTCGGACTGTCTCATTTTGAGCATGTGAGTGGACACTTGCTCTCATTGTAGGTTCTGGAGTTCAGAGCAAGCTGTTTGCTGTTGGGTTCCTTCGTGAGACCTGTGGGATCATGGGTGCCAACTGGGATGAAGAGGTTAGGTATGTGTGAAGGTAAGGTGGTTCGCTGACACTCATAGTTGCCGGAGGACGTTTGCGAATACTCTATTCGTGATGGCACGTAAGAGTTGAGTTCAGCCCGGAACGAAGATATATACGTTCGACACCCTCAGATTACTAACCAACTATTTTTGTTCTCGAGTTCTCACAATCAATCATCAAGAATATGAAGACAAGGTTCACTCACCACCAATACAGAAAGCAAGTGCTGTTCCAACACAGTAGCATTACGAGATACCTCACGGATGATCCGCGTATGCACGTGCTCAATACCAATAGTTTCAATGATGAAGAAGTTCGGATGTAATTGACCTTGTGACGAACATGGCCACCCAACAAATGGACATCTGCCACTAATCAGCCTCAAGTCTAACTCGTGACAAATTGATTGGCCGATCAAGGATGGATGAAAACTGGAATTGGCAAGTGTGGTCCAGCGTAACAAGAGTGCTGAGTCTGGACGCTTTCAAATGAAGGACGTCGTCACTATATACCTACCACCTCCTTTTCGCTGCCTCACCGTCCGGGAAGATAGGGGTACACTACAGAAAGGCGATAATAGACGGTGAAGAGAAGCAGTAAAGATATTCCACAAACCCAACAAAAACCATTGGACGGATATAAGTGCTTGTTGACCGCTCCACGCTTATCCCATTGAAGCCGAGCGTCTTCTCTGCCTGGCATCGGTGCTTGACCCCTGCGAGACGGGACCAGGAGAGACAAAGTGCGGGCAGTCGAGGCTCTGGAAAAGTAGGTAGCGAGTCCACACCCCTGTCTTATCGCTTATCAGTGACAGCGCAGGACGTCAGCGCATTGGCCGACGTGCTGTCCGCCCCCATCGCCGCCCGCCCCTAAAGTCAGGCCAACCGAAGACCATTGGATCCTATCCAGCCAGACAGTGAATCACCAAGGCGCCGCGGTCGAGGTGCTCGTA